ACCTGCACGCGTTAAGACTGACGCGTTAGCACAGCTCGGCAGTCAGCGTGTTGGGAGTTACATTCACACACACACAGCCACTCTGCTCCTTGCAGATCGCGTCATGACGCCTGCTTTGATCTCTTCACATTCAGCCTGGGCCACCACCACCACGGCAGCAGCAGCAGCAGCCATAAGCCTCGTCTCTCTCGCTCGTGTTTCATTTGATTTCGTGTTTAAGACATTACAGCAATCGGCCGGCCTATAACCTCGTGATAACAACAACAACAACGCAGAGAACCTTCGGCGCGTGTTTACGTCATCACAGTAGCGCGCAACAATTCCCAGCGAATGGATCACAAAGTTGAGCATGACGTGGTTTGAGGGCGAGCAGTGTGACGAGGGGAAAATGAAGTGGTGAGGGTGAGTTGTGGTGAGCGGTAGTGGTGAGGGTGAGTTGTGGTGAGCGGTAGTGGTGAGGGGGAATTGTGGTGAGCGGTAGTGGTGAGGGTTAGCGGTGGTGGGGAAGAGCGGTGGTGGTGAGTGGTGGTGAGGGGGAGTGGTGGTGAGGGGGAGCGGTGGTGGTGGTGAGGGTGAGTGGTGGTGAGTGGTGTTGGTGGTGAGTGGTGGTGAGGGGGACTGGTGTTGGTGGTGTTGGTGGTGAGTGGTGGTGAGGGGGAGTGGTGTGGTGGTGGTGGTGAGTGGTGGTGAGGGGGAGCGGTGGTGGTGGTGAGGGTGAGTGGTGGTGAGTGGTGGTGAGGGGGACTGGTGTTGGTGGTGAGTGGTGGTGGCTGCGCTGTTCGCGCCACTCGAGGCAAGTGGCGGCGCCGTGAGGCTGCAGCTGCTGCCGCGGGCTCTCAGTGAGTGAGCGAGAGGCTCCTCTGAGTGAGTGAGAGACGAGGGGGGAGCCGGCGGATGGCGGCGACCTCGCGGCGCGGCCTCTGAGCCATGGCCGGCACGGGCAGACTCCGCGCGGAGCCCCGCGCCGCCTCGGCCCACGGTGAGCGGCGTCTCCCCCGCACGCGTACAGTGCGACTGGTGTACAGTGCGGTGTGTGTACCGTGAGACTGGGGTACAGTGGGCACGTGTACAGTGAGACTGGTGTACAGTGCGGTGTGTGTACAGTGCGACTGGTGTACAGTGCGGTGTGTGTACCGTGAGACTGGGGTACAGTGGGCACGTGTACAGTGAGACTGGTGTACAGTGCGGTGTGTGTACAGTGCGACTGGTGTACAGTGGGCACGTGTACAGTGTGACTGGTGTACAGTGCGACTGGTGTACAGTGCGTTGTGTGTACCGTGAGACTGGGGTACAGTGGGCACGTGTACAGTGAGACTGGTGTACAGTGCGGTGTGTGTACAGTGCGACTGGTGTACAGTGGGCACGTGTACAGTGTGACTGGTGTACAGTGCGACTGGTGTACAGCGCGGCTGGTGTACAGTGCGACACATGTACAGTGCGGTGTGTGTACAGTGCGGTGTGTAGGTAATCACGTGTACAGTGCGCGTTGTGTACAGCGTGCCGTCAATACAGTCGATTGGCACGATAATATTCGTACGGTGCAAAAGAAGTTCCACTCCCAGTCCTCGGCGCGGCAGTTCGTGGCGCTGCGCTACGAATCCCGCTCACGGCCAACACCGGTGACGATTATGTGAGCGTGTCCTGGGCCTCCCCTAGGTGGACTCGGCATCAAATGAGTTACTGGTGCGGTGTGTAAACATGGCCACTGGGGTGACAAAGGCGGCCGGGCGTGGTGTTGAGAACAGCGCTTGCCCCAACAGTGTGTCCAGGCTACACGGGGGATGTTTGCGAGGACAGTTCGGTGTGTAAAGTGTCTGTGTGTGGTTAGTCCAGTGCGAGTATGCAGTACACCTAGCCTGGCACAAGCACCATGGTCATTCGTCCGAATTTTATTTCGAACTTCTTTTCGTGCTTATTTGCCCTTCCTCCGTACCTCCGATTCGCACCGTTGGCTATGTACGTTGCGAAATAAGTTCAAAATAGGTGCATACAAGACTCATGGCATTTGAAGAAAGAGCTGTCAACTGATAATTCCATCCTCATCGCTTGAGCTCTGTGAAATTAGCCGCAGTGTGCTGCAGTGTCAGGACGTGTAGGCCCACGCGTTGCTTAATCTGTAGACTTTCTTTCACGAGCTGAAAAGCCAAGTGAGACCCCAAGTCTCTCCTGCTGTGGTGACCTGGGTCAACACGGGCCTCACAACACACAGCTGAGACCAAACAGGAGAGAATGTAAAGCAGAGTGCAAATGACTTGGACAAATGCAGAAACAACCATGATCGGCATCTGTGCTCAAAGTTTCCGAGAAAAGTATCTAGTTTATCGTCTCGGAGAGATGAGAAATGTAGAAATTATCAGGCATTTCTGGAAAATCACCTGATCGCGAGAACGAGGAGCTTAGTCCATGTTCCCGTAGTCGGCCACGTTTTCCCTGGTTTCACCGGGACGGGGCGGTTATATTCACGTGGGCATTGCTGTGCAGAGTATTTTTCCAGTTCTGCAGCTATGGTTTTGGATCTTAAAACAAAAGAGCAACTCATTTCGGGTTCTATAAAAGACCGTGTTCTGTCCAAACTTCCAGTGAACTGAGTACGAAGTCTTTGTATGCCTCCTCTGCGCATGTGTACATCTCTTGTGTGTGTTCTCTCCTTTCCCACTTTCCTAGGTGACTCCAGCTGGCTGGAATCCCAGAGCCCGTCGGACTCAGTGTCTCCTATATTAACTTGTTGTGGGTTTAAGGCATGTCAAACGACCCCCCCCACCCTACCCGGCCCTCTTAGCATGCCCCTGTTGCCATCACGCCGACCCCTCGCGCTCTCTCGGAGAGTGTGCCTCGAGGCAGAGCAGCCTTGCACCTCGGGCCTGTTGCCTCAACCAATTGCTTTTCGTGGTTCACATTCGTCTAACACTTGGTGGTTGTGGTTTTGTGTAAACTATATGTTCTTGCTCAATGCATGTGTTTCATACTCGCCTTTTAGTTGCATGTGGTTTTGGTTTGCTTAGTTCCACTGCAAACACAATGGTAACTCGCACAAGGCTGTTAAGTTTTGCATGAAGAGGAAAGAGCCTTTGCGTCGGCTCACCTGGCGAGTTAAGGAACCTGAATTCTCCTCATTCCCAGTGCACGCTTGGCCATGCTGGATATGCCCACGTTAAACCCACTGACATGGTGCGAATTTATTCAGTGTGTTACGTGGCGTGACAGTAATTTACACGCAGAGAGTAGACGACGTTTAGCTGCAGCCAATAATTATTTAGCTTTCAGGGTGCCTGCTGTGTGACGTTTCGGCAGCGTGGTCTTTTGAAAGTGCCGCACCAGCGGATTTAAGTGCATGCTGGCCAATGACACGGCGCAGCGGTACCGCGTTCGGTGCTCGTAGCAGAGGTTGACAGTTCCAATCCAGCAGCCACCCTGGTTAATACTGCAGTATTTAACAACACAAAAATGCTCTGTCAGCTTAACAGCATACGTTAAAGATACCCTGCCGTCATTCGCGAGTCTCGGCCATTGTATCCCATCATCGTGGTCCTAATTTGCTAAATTCAAAAAATTACCCGAAAATGACTCCATTTGAATAGACAAAGTACTTAACGCTACCTACTGTGAAAACTTGGCAGGACCCTCCACAAAAAGTAATGAAACTCAGTGAGGCTTTCCTAGGTAAATAAGCTTAATAATAAAAGTATAATAATGTAATATTTTGCCTATTACAATTTTTCATCAAGTCTTGCAAACATATGTGTAGCCCAATGGACTTTTACCTGGCTCGCAGTGCTGCCAATGTAATGGAGCTCCATCCAAGGCTTATTTGAGAGTTCGGTCACACGTTGACCGAATTAAATATACATTTGCATGCTAACTCCGAATGGCAAGCAAGGTTAGTTTTGTTTAGTTAGCTTGTGAGATGAATATGAAAGAAAAGTCACCACATTTGCCATCACAGTCGAACTCCATGAATCCTCGGTGATGGGGTGGAACTGCTCATAGATCCTGTAACCGCGGCGACCACAGATTACCCCGAAATCTGCGCCGGAAAGATTAGCCGTGGTGCGGCAGTGTGCCACAGATTTAAGGAGCTTTTAGTTTCTGCATTGTCAGTCTCTGTGTCTCCGTTTGTTTCTCCCGTTTGTGGACTGGACAGTATGAAAATGTTGAGTTCGACTATAATGACAACATACAAGTGTGGCTTAAGAAAGCATTGGCTGTACAAAAGAGACCACAGCACACTTACAGAATGGCAACACCTTTACACACAGCAGAGCAGAGCTGCAACAACTGTGCCAATACTACAGCCATTACGTAAAGCAGGCCAATCGCACAGAGCAGTGGTTTCCAACGATTCTGCTCCCATGGACACAGTCGGCCCTTCAAACCGTGTTTGGCGGACCACTGTGCAGTCGTGGTAAATTGGTGTTTAGTGAAAGAAGTCTTGTCCGCAAGAGTTCTGCAGACCACTTCCCATGGTGCTACGGAGCACCAGTGGTCCTTGTACCACAGGTTGGGAGCCACTGCCAACAATATGATTACCAAACCGTGCTCCTAATGATTAATGACTGCAATATCTACTGTGTGACACGGAGTAAATACAGCGATGTGTCAAATAGAGGATATAATTTTGTTAACATACAATCTCTACTATGTCAGTTGCATGATACAACCTGTGGAGTCAAAACAGCACCACTGCTACCATGCTCTTGCCATTCACTGCATGGTGAGAAAGGGAGCGAGGGAGGAGGGAACAAGCAAGTGAGAGAGAGAGAGTAAGAGAACGAGGTAGAGGGTGAGTGAGCGAAGGATGGGGCTAGGGAGGGAGCGAGCGAGCGAGTGAGTGCGCGCGCGAGGGAGGGATCGAGTGAGCGAAGGATAGAGCCAGGGAAGGAGCGAGTGAGTGAGAGGGCGAGTAAGTAAGAGATGGAGCTAGGAAGCGAGTGAGTGAGAGGGCGTGTGAGCGAGGAGGGAGGTGTGGTTGAGGAGCTCACGCCGCCTGCACCGTCCTACAGGAGTACGAGGATCGTGCGCGACGCTCGTCAGCGGTGCTGTCAGGGCCACCGGTGGTGAGGAGGCCCCTGGAGTTCGAGCCCCTGTCCACGACGGCGCTCATCCTGGAAAACCGCCCCGCGTGAGTGCGCGGCTGCCGCCACCGCGTCCCAGCAGAACCGCTCGGGGAGACGCAGCCTATGACGTTCACAGCTCGTCGTTAAGCTTACAAAAATAACGTTTATATTTCATGAATGCTTAACGATGTCGCAGTGGCTGCACTCTAGAGCCATTGTGATGCGTGTGAATTAAGTTTAAAATCCCTGCCGGCCATCCCGAAGTGTTCATGAGCCAAGAGCTATTTAGATTTTGGTTTGAGTCTCGAGGTAGCAAATGTGATCTCAGAGTCAGAAGCGTGTGGTTACAAATTAAGAATACCAATGTCCTCATGGGCTTTAGTTTGGATTGGTCTCTTTCATTATTCCTGCATGACACCATCCTCAGCTCGGTAGCTCGTGAGGGGCGAAGGGTCGCAGAGGCCAGACCTTGCATCTGCATGTCTCTGGCAGCGGCCGGCATGGGGCCCAAGTGCCCATGCACACCTCTCTTGGCTTGTGTGATATCTCTGAGACTGTTGCCTATGATTTTCTGATTGTGTTGGCTTTCCCTTCGTAGCCAAGTGCAGTTTGGCACCATGGTGGCGAGATGTTACCTACCGTGCCTGGTATACAGGAGGTCGTGCGTACGATCCTGACTCTGATGCCTGCTATATATTTGGAGTTTGCATGTCTCTCTCTCTCCACGTGGTCGCGTGTATTTTTCTGCATGTCCTCTGGTTTTTCCCTCCACATAAAAAAATACGAATTTAGAGTATTTGGCTGCTATAAATTTCCACATGATAAGCCACTTCACACCTCCGATTAGCATGGTTGACTACGTACGGTGCGAAAAAAATGCAACACACATACATACTTGGTTGAGCTCTCATTCGTGGCCAGGTTGCTTCTGAAAAAGAGCTGTATTGCTGGTAAAATAAAAAAATTATATAAAAAGTTTAGTTTTACTTCCATCATGGGTGTATTCCCCCAATCATTCCCGTCATTAGTGTTGTCAGCGACGATGATAACTGCGGTCATGACTCGTGATTACAGCTCCCGAATGCGATGTGGCATGATTGTGCGTCGCGTTCCTTGATGCTGTGTTGGGGGCCGCCACATGCGTGTCTATCCTCAGTCACCTCCCCGCCAAGCCCCCGGACGAGGCAGAGAGACACCAGCAGCTGTACGATGAGATGGTGCTGCAGGCCAAGAAGAGAGGTGGGGCGTACATTGGAACTCGTGAACCTCTTGGTTGTGTATAACATTTACATTTTTTTTACATTTTTATTCCATTCATGTATACAGTAATTCCTCATTTGATGCGGTCGATGCATTTCTGAGAAAAGTGCCGAGTTAAACGAAAAAGCGTTTAGCGAGGAATCACTGTACTGATCACGTATGCACTGTAAATCAGCCTGTAGTCATCACATGGTGGGAGAAATAACTGAGATTAGGGTACGACGCCGCGCACCGTATCATTCCGCTTACTGTATTACACCACTCAGCTGCGCAGCTCGAGAAAGCAGTTGTCGACCACTCAGAAACCGCGTTCTAATGGGAAAATGTTTCCGAATAGATGAACTGGATGATAGCGAAAATGCGTTGTGTGAAAACGCGTTAAGTGAGAACTTACCGTACACCACGCAAAGTACACACTCTATTCGACAAGTCTATTCACCAGTGAGTTTGGGTTCATGAATTGTGACAAACCGGTGCTACGATGTAGGAGTCGATTCCTAATTGACTGAATTTCAAGATAATACTACTCACTGTCTACAAGGTTCTCCATGGACTCACCCCTCTCCTACCTCTCCCCTCTCATCTCATTCTACTCCCCTCCACACACTCTCCCCTCTCATCTTACTCTACTCCCCTCCACGCACTCTGCTACCTCTCCCCTCTCATCTCACTCTACTCCCCTCCACGCAATCTCCTACCTCTCCCCTCTCATCTCATTCTACTCCTCTCCACACACTCTCCTACCTCTCATCTCACTCTACTCCCCTCCTCGCACTTGCCTCCCTCTCCCCTCTCATCTCATTCTACTCCCCTCCACACACTCTCCTACCTCTCCCCTCTCATGTCACTCTACTCCCCTCCACGCAATCTCCTACCTCTCCCCTCTCATCTCACTCTACTCCCTGCCACGCACTCACTTACCTCTCCCATCTCATCTCACTCTACAAAATTACTGTTTATGGACTGCATCTTGACATGCAGTTCCATCTCAAGACAGTCAAAAGCTTGGGTTTCCTCCAGGCTCCCCACTTACCTCCACAAATATACTCCTCGTGGAATTGCCCATTCATCCCAAACAAGCTTGAGTCTTTGAGACTCCTTGAGGCTTTCCTCGGTAAATTTGTGCGAATGTGTTTATTGTTTCTGTTCCTTTCATGGTAATGTAGAGTGTGTGTGTGTGAAGCAACGGGAAGTTTTCCAGTGGTGTGTCCTTGGAAAAGCAGCCGCATGGACTCCTGCTGTGGCTCTCCGGGGCTCGCTGTCGGTCGTGTGCAGAGGTACGAGAAATGCAGAGGCGTAAGAAGCAGCTGAAGGAGCGGTGCAAGCAGGAGGAGAACATCTCCATCTCGGTTGCCGTGTGGAACACGGAAATTCTGCCCCACTGGGACCGCACGTGAGTTCCCATGACACCCATCCCGCCATGCTGTGATGTTACAGGAAACCGGAACGATCACATGGGTCTGCTCACCGTGACACTGCTGCTCTCACTGCCCCTGTACCGAGGGAACAAATAGACCTTGGTCGCAGCGATAGCCAGGTCGGCAGATACCTTTATTTTTTGTTAATTAGGCACCTTCGATGTGGTACGTGGTACAATAAAGCCGAGAGGTGTAATATTATAATTACTCAGGTTAGAGTGGAGCGCTGCATATTGTGTGGGTTCAATCCTAATATAGGGTGTATGGGCTTCGACCACGTGTTTGAAATGAGAGGGATAGTGAAGTGGCACAGGATGAGCCGGTTCTGGGTTTGGCAGGGGATAAAGGAATTGAGGAGCCTCATTCAGGTCGCCAATTCATTCGGCATGCAGCATGCACCGAGTGAAATAATTAGCTGCGGAACCCATGCGGCAATATTCAGAACAGGTGCAGGGCTAAATTTCATCAGGAAATTAACCTATGGACTGTGCCAAACCTAGCCCAAGTTTCATATGTATTGGAACCCCCTCTCACGCAATTGAGAGGCGAGATGAGACCACAGCAGCAGGACACCAGCCACTAGCAGGTCTGCCCAACATCCAGCCAGCAGTGGAGAGAGGAGCCGACCACAGAGAACAGTCATGTTGAATGCTTGGCCATCTGCTCGGGGAGCAGAGGCACATTTGATGATGAGAAAACGCTTCAGCAGTGGGGCGAGCGCAAGGAGGCCACCTTGAGCGCCATCCTGTGGAGGAAAGCAGCGGTGCGAACGGGGCAGCTGAGTACACAGAAGCCAATAATCTGCTGCCATTGTCCGACTTGTGCCGTTAAGTCCAATATTGTACTGTTGAGCGTGGTGATTGTGGTACTGTGAATGAGAAGGGGTGCTTGGGGATTTCTGTGTACTGCATCTCACAATAAGTACACTGGTGAGGTGGTTTAATATTGGCCACTTAGAGTTCGTGATCGTGAGGAGTGCCATCTACTGGAGTGGAGAGGTGTGAGGGGATGTCTGATAACAGGGGCGTTGGAAGGCTGAGTGGTCTCAACAACTCCCAGAACCCTGAAGACGAATCATGAACTTTATTTACTATGGAGAAATCTGATGAGCTATGAAGCTCTTTTTCATAGATGTTCAGGGTAAAAATCACGAAAGTGCGAAATCCAACGGGCCTCGCACTACTGTGACAGAGTGGGAACTTCCTCATATCTGGACGAAGAAGCAAAACAGCATTAAGTGCCAACGGTGGCCAAGATAGCCCTATCCCAGAGTCCGGGAATGCGCTTGGACATTGATGCGAGTGGGTACATGTTTGTATGTTACTATTTATAAGATACCGTGTGTGAGACTTGCTGTTCGAAGTTGTGGAAGCATATCGGGTGACTGACCGTTTAAAGACAATCAATTCTAGTAATGCTTCGCCTCAGGTGAAAGGTTGCCTCGTTCTCACACGACTAAAACCATCATATGAGCACTCGTGACCTGGCTAACCAAAAATGTCATAGCGACACCGGCAACGGTCTATATAGTTAGCGACTACGTCACACGGTGCCAGCATTACAAACGAAGCGAATGTGAGACGTTGGTGATGTTAACGTGAGAACGCTCTACATTTAGGAGGCAGACCCGGAAAGCCAAGGACCTCTGGTGGCAAGGCATCCCTCCCAGCGTGCGGGGCAGAGTGTGGAGGCTGACCATCGGCAATGAGCTCAACATCACACACGGTCAGCGGCATGCCGTGCCTGCACACTGGCATGCCACATCCTCTGCCGCACTCTCACTGCTGTGGCGGCCACGTGGTTCCACACACGCCCCCCCCCCCCAGTACCGAACCACTGATGTCAGTATTCTGCACAAATATAACTGAGAGACTTGCGGGTCAGAGCTCTGTTATTATTGCCGATGGAGAGAAGTGCGGGACTGGACTGTGAGGCATGGCCGTGTGAATAACGGTGGAACAATGCAATGATTTAGAACATGCTTTTACAGGATATGGCCGTTATAAATTTGCACATGATAAGCCACTTTGTTGAGCGATCATTTGTGGCCAGGCTGCTTCTGAAAAAGAGCTATATAGCTCAGTGAGCCTTTCCTGATAAAATATAAATAGTACATTTATTTTAAAATATAAATCTTCAATCTGCCGATGTGTGAATCGAGAGCCCACTCTTTGACGGATCTCTAAAAAGCACGTGTCCTCTCCGCTCGTTTCAGAGCTGTACGAGATCTTCCTTTCTCGAGCAGAAGAACGGTGGAAAAGCTTCAGTGAGACGAGCTCCAACGTTGAAGCTGAAGGTAACCATAGAATTCACCAAGAGGGCATTGGAAACCTCAGCCTTGCTGGCGCTCCTAACACAGGGAATTGGGAGTTTTCCCTCTCGCCCAATGCCAATGCATTGAGAGAGGCCAGGATTAGGGTTTAATTTAATGGTCCCAGGTTATTTCGTTACATTGGTGGCAAAATACAGTCCAGCCAATTACAGGGCATGGACCCGAACATGGACGGAATCGCCACCAAAGTTGTGCATTGTTTATGTTTCAGTGCCACAAATCTAACAAGTGAAGGAGTACAAATACTTGGGGTCCATCACCAACTCTAAATTTAAGTTTCACTCCATCTTTGCTTACATTTAAAGAAAATGAAGGTTAAAAGTGGCTTCCTATACAGGCATAAGGACTGCATGCCGTCTATGCTAATTTTAGATATGGTAAGAGCAACAATACTTCCAATGTTTATTGCCATGATTTACTTCATCAGTTTGCTTCTGAGGTTTGCATTAAAGAAGCTAAACTCAATCGACCAATTCAGGTCTTAGCTTTGCTCTGGATGCTCTCTTCAGTACCCACCATTGTGACAATTACATTGGTTCATCTTGAAACTGTCTCTGCCCATAGAAACATCCCACTGGGCTCTGTTTATTTTAAAGGTCCTCTTGGATAAATCTGATAAATACTAGATGGATCAATTGACCCTGAAAGAAAATAAACTAAGCCTAAAAAGCTCCTCCGACTTACTCTTAGAAACCCCCCAGGTTCGATTCGGTCTGCAGTAAAAAGGTCCTTCTCGGTGGCTGCTCCCTCGTTGTGAAATCGCTTTCATGTTAGCTTTGGGAATTAAATTGTTGATGACCGTGAGACAGTTACGTTCATTCTTCAAACTCAAGTTCCTTGATAGGTGTAGCCGTCGTCAATAATCGTCAGAGATGTGTGAGCTGGAGCTTATTTGGAGCATAAAATTCCGGTTGCTCATTGTGTTTATTTGTTAATGAATTTTTTTTTCCTTTTATTTTTGTTCACAAAAGAATCTAGTCTTGTTATTTACTTTTGACATTTTTTCATTGGTTCCCACTTCCTGTAGCATGTAAAGCACATGCACCAATACTCACTGTTTGTATCATGACCTATGTAACCATGATTGTAACTCAGATCCGTACTGTGGTAGTAACATTTGTGTAATTGCAGAATGTAATAAATAAAATAAATCTAATATAAATAATCACAACCACAATTGAACCTTATGCCGGTACTCCGGGGTACCATTCCCGCACAATGTCCGTGATGCAGTCGTTTTTAGTCTGCTGATTGTCGGCGATGCGGCAATCGACTCATCTCGGCGAGCTGTACATGATGCATTATTCAAAGTTTAACTTTTCGATAACGGATTTTTTTATGCTAATGTTTGACGATTCGACATCGTGGAGTAGTACTGATTTCGGATTTATTGGTACCCCATTCGCGGAGTTAAGTAACACCCCTGGAAAAAATAGTGTCCCAGAAATAAAATATTTAATTGCCTCGGCCATTTTGTATTATTTGGTACTCCGGGGTATCGCCATGAGGATCAATTATCCCCTCCACTCACAGGTCTTGCCTCCCAGCGGTAGAGGCACCAGTGGCTGCATTTCCATGTCTTTGGTCCACAGCATATGTTTGTCAACATTCTATTAACATTTGGAAAAAAATATAAAAAACTGTACTTTTGGAAAAGCACAGTCAGTGCCACGAATAAACCCGTAAATTAGACTTGAGATGATTTAAAATGTGAATGTTAATGGACGAGACAGACCAAATGCAAATTAGGAGGGTGGTAGGGTGGTGCTTTGGTAACGCTTGTGTCACACAGCAAGAAGGGCCTGGGTTCGATTCCTAACCCAGGCTACTTTCTGTGTACGCTGTGTAGATTCTCCCCCTGCTCTAAATTGATATCCTCCGGTTTCTCCAGTTTCCTCCAATAGCTAAAACATGCTGAAACGGTATCTGCAAATTACTCTTGGGAGTAGACACGGTGACATCGCCCTCTGGATTTGAGACTCGCTAAGACTTCCCTGGGTAAACAAGCGTCACATTCACCCTTTCCTGTTCCGAGACGTCTGCAATTTGCAGGGTGGGGCCCCGTTCACCGCTGAATCTCGGAACATGCAAGCGGTTAGCGTTAATTGTATTTAGAGAGGCATGGTGCCGTTGTTTTTTTAAGACATTGTGCTGACCGCATAGGACTGTAGCAACATGACCGCACTCTACGATAGCTGGCGCCAAACTGCTACACGCCCTCCCACATGGCGTTGTGGGAGCCTCGGTAGCGATAAAGTTATTTTATTTTAGTTTTCCTTCCGGTTCCGCTCCAATGACGTACGTGTCCATGAAGATGTTATAATTTCATTGGGAGGCGTTGATGCACTGTGCTGCGGGGGTGGTGCAGAGGCTGCTGCTGCTGCTGTTGCTGCCACAGCGGAGGCCGACCGGGAGGCCAGCCTGGAGCTCATCAAACTCGACATCTCGCGCACCTTCCCCACGCTCTGCATCTTCCAGAAGGTGCGTTTCCTCCCAGGCCGCCCCCAATGCCCGATAAAATAAGCGATTGCCTTCTGGGGCCAATAGCCGCACGCAAAGACATGGAGAATCTCAACCGCTACCTTAGGTTTCAGCGACATTTTAACTACTGTCTCCACCTGCACACAATTGGTCAACTGTGTCCAACTTTTGTCGTAGGGCGAGAATGTCTCTGGTTGTTTGACCGCTCAGCTAGCGCTGTTGTCCCCAGCCGTTGGTGGCGTCCCTACTGAGCAGGGAACGTGCAGTTTTGGCTCTGCCAGATGTCGTCTCTTGGCGGTCAACAGAAAGCATTTGCTGGTGCACAAAGAAGCACGAAGTTTATATAAATAAAAAACTGAGCTACAAAAATTTGCATGCGCATCGCAGTACTCAGCCCTTCGGGAATCGGTGTAGTTGTTTTCCTCGGTAAGAAAACTGCAGTTTGACACGTAGTTTCCCGTGACTCGTGACCTCTAACCCGGAGTATCTCCTACGTTTCCTCGTCCTGAGAAAAGTGACTCCCAAACATGGAACGGGAAGTATTTTAATGTAAAATATAATTAATATTTTATATATTGTTAAATACAACTCGTACAGTCAATGTATAGAATGAAAATATTTAATATAGTGGACCGAACTGTACTGTACATGTAAAAGTAAACCTGAATATAAGGTTAATGACATGTACTGTCCAGTAAATATTACACAGTTTAAAAACGAACAAACTATAAATATTCACTACCACTTAATTTTAATTTAGGGGCCCATTGCAAAACAATAAGAGCACTGATAAATAAAGAAAAATTGTGCATCTGAACCTCACTGGAGGATGCTGGGAGCATATGAACTGGGACCTGCGATGCGCCGCTTGGGAGACAAGATGGAGATGAGACGGCGCGTGTTTTCTTCCGCAGCAGCATAATCGCAAGCAGTACAGTTACGATGCAAACAGGAATATTGCAGTTAACTGCGAATGGTCGAGGCACAGGGGTGTGATCGGCAAACCTGTATCTCAATACATTTTGCGTGAATAGTCAAATCCGCTTTGGGGAAACCCTCGATGGCCAAGGTTTCGGTGAAGTAACTACAAGGTTAAACCACAGTCAGGTGTTCAGCTCACCAGCCACTATGGCATTCATCTTATTAGCGGAGAGACGCACGGCATATTTATATAATTCTCTTCTTTGCTTCCAGTAAACACCATTGAGCTGTTTATGTTGTTGGGGTTACTGCAGAACATGCGATTCCTCCTCGGAACTTAATTGTCAACCCTCACACAGAAGAGTTTATCGCAACCCAAACTCCTAACCCAGGAGTTGGCAACGAAAATAATAATAATAATAATACCCATATTGTTCGAATTCTGTAAATTCAATATTTTAAGAGCCACCAATGCATGTTAATAGGAGACAGTCCTTAATAGCTAACGTCGCAAAGCAGTACTTAATGAGTCACAGGTTGCCGAGCCCCTGCCCTCACCTGAACCCTAACCAGCTCATCACACCCATGATAATTGCACCTCTGATGAGGCAGTCTCTAAACCGTGACATAATGTGCCTCCTTTTGTTACAAAAGTGTTAGGTGTGTGGTTTCCCAAATATTAAGACTACGGGGGTTTACCTCCAGTCAGCTCACGCTCGTCTCACAAACTGAGAAGCGTCAAACGCGGTGGTGTTGATTGAAGGGGTGTCGATAGTTATTGTGCCCCTGCCAGGCGGTGGTCATGGTGGAGAGATCAGAATCGGATTATTTCATAATCAGAATATTTATTTATACTGGAGGAACCCAATGAGTTCTCCAGTAGTAGTTTGTGTGTCCCGTGTGGTTGTTGCAGGGTGGACCCTACCACGACGTGCTGCACAGTGTGCTGGGCGCCTACACCTGCTACCGGCCGGACGTGGGCTACGTGAGTTGCCCGGGCCTCGCCGTGTGCTTGGCGGTGTCTCTCCCGAACGCGGATGGAAAATCAACAGCATCGGGTCGCGTTCTCTCGCCTCGCCACAATCGATGTCGCTTCAAATGAGTAAAAATGTGAAAATCCCGTCCAATTACTCGCATGGCTATTCCCGCCCCCGCCTAGCAAATGAACGCCCATCGCCGAGTCAGGTGTTGAGTCCGCTTGTGCCGCGTGTGGAATCGGAGAATCTGCACTCGAATTTGTTTTGTTAGTCCAGAGAGCGCCATATAAATTAAATGTAGACATTCACTTCCACGGCCATCAGTAGCTGTCGTGATCTCTGCCGGGAAGTTGCAAGTGGAGTTTTTCGTTTTATGAATGGGAATCATCTACGAGGCAATTGCATGCATGTCATCACTTGCTCTCATTTCAACACGAAAACTGATAAGTTCTTGGGAAAACAAAACTGTTGTCTATAGTGTGGATCGCCACATTCTACTAATGTGCTACACCATGCTGCTTCTTTTCTAACCTCGAAGTTAATTTGTTGTAGTGTTTAGACTAATGCTTTGTGAACTTATGAATTACAGTATTGACTTAAGTGAATAACTCATTGTGATGCCCTGTGCTGTAACTGTGCGCTGTAGGACTGTGGTGTAACGCTGCATGTTTTTCAGGTGCAGGGCATGTCCTTCATTGCTGCTGTGCTGCTGCTGAATATGGACACGGCCGATGCCTTCATTGCCTTTGCCAACTTACTGAACCGACCCTGCCAGATGGCCTTTTTCCGCGTTGACCATGGCCTGGTGTGTGCGCTGGAGACTGTGAAACTAATTCACGGCACATCACCGGGAACAAACGAAAGCTCCCTTTTCTGCGGTTGTCCGCTATTCTAATCGCATGCCGTAATTAATTCTGTAACACCTCTTTATTAATAATGACAACTTCTGTAAGATCACAATTGATATTCGGGTCCGTTTGCGCAAGTCAAATGTGTGTCGTATACCCTCCTCCACCCAACACGTTAACAAACGTGCCAATTTATCACTGCTTCAGCAGCACCACCGCATTGTTGGAGAGTCATCCGCACACGTTTTTACTTGGCTGTGTCAGGTGGAGGAGGGTTTACAACACACATTTTGCTTACGCGATCCGACGCAAATATCAATTATGAACCATTGAATTGGTCGCGAAAGTCCACCCATGTTAAACTTCCATAACTTGGCATTGGCCACTGGTAAGTTTAACGGCAGCTGTTAACCAGTTGACGCCCTACTTCCGAGCATCGCCAAGGCAGCCGCTTGCGCCTGTCTAAGGGTCTCTCCCTTTATCTGCCGACCGCTGGCTGCCACTCCCATGCCGGCGACCTGCGAGAGCAGGCGATCGGCTACGGGTGCTGATGTGTCGGTCAGTAGCTGTGGGAACTCAGAACTCCCGCACGCTGACACCAAGGCAGACCATACACATGCAAGGTCCCGCCACTTGGCCCCGGTCTCGGTGTGTCGAGCAGACGTGCGCTTACACACACGTGCACAGTGCGCGGCCCTCAGTGCGGCCTCTGCTGTTTCTTGCGATGAAAGTAATTTGAATTTGCCATTTTTCTGCAAAACGTTATGTCATGGCAGTTAGTGGAAGTATGAATTGGGGTAGCGATACTGGGGGTGTGTAAGAATTGTGCACAGCCTGCAGAAAAGACACTTCCCTGATTGACTTGTGCGCGTCTGTTGCAGATGCTCGCTTACTTTGCAGCCTTTGAAGTTTTCTTTGAAGAAACCCTCCCACAGCTCTTTTCACATTTCAAGAAGAACAATTTGACTCCAGATATTTATTTGATCGACTGGTATGAATACAAACGCAGCATCACTACACTCTTAAGTATATATGTTTATGTAAAAATAAGGAAAGTGGCTTTCCACTCGGTCATGCTAGGTGTGGTGCTCATGACCCTTTTACAACCCTCGGTGTAAATTCCACATTCCTGTGGTGGGGGTACACCTGTCCAGAGTAAAGCTGCTGTTGACTTCCCGCAGAGTAGTACTCCATCTTGATGTCGCTGCTGACGGGGCTCGGTGTGGATGTCCTGCACTGCCCTCTCCACTGCGTGATGCGTGCAGGATCTTCACCCTCTACAGCAAGTCGCTGCCCCTGGACGTCGCGTGCCGCGTCTGGGACATCTTCTGCCGTGACGGGGAGGAGTTCCTCTTCCGCACGGCGCTCGCCATCCTGCACCTGTACGACGACGTGCTGCTGCACATGGACTTCATCCACATGGCCCAGCTGCTGACTCGCCTCCCCGAGGACCTGCAGGCCAGCGAGCTCTTCTCTTCCATCTCGGCCATCCAGCTGCAGAGCCGCAACAAGAAGTGGAGCCAGGTACAGGGGCCGCCCTCTGTGCCACACCGCAGAGTGTCCGGTACACTCGGGCCCCGCCGAGAACCTCGCGTGAGCGACACGCATTCCTTGCGCGAGGTCTAACGTGGGTGGTGTCGCGGGCTCACGGTAGTGCATTCACCGATCGTTGCAGAGGTTCACGGTTCGAATTCGTCAACCGCCCCAAGTACTAACTGCGCTGGGTGTATTAACGGTAATGATATGACACGTCGTCGGCTTCACAGTGGAAGTTACAGATCCGGTGACGTCATACACGAGTAGGGCATTGTGTGCTGCCGTCATCGGCCAAATTTGAAACATTTCCCACAAACTACTCAATTGGGGTTATCCTCGGCCGCGTATATACGTTGCACTTCTTTTGCAACGTATGTAGCCAACCGTGCTAATTGGAGGTAGAATCATCGCCCCCTCCTGCGAAAACTTAGCAGGACCCTCTTGAGGATTTCCTGGGTAAACAAGTGCAGTAATAATAACAAAAACGATCATTTGCCAAGTTGTCCTTGGGAAGTGGCGCACATTTCACGAGTGTTGATGGGGGTGCGGGTGGTGGTTCGTGTTTTGGCGCGGGCAGGTGCTCGCCACCCTACTAAGGGACTGCAGGGACTCGGGCAGAAGCAGCAAGGCCAACAGCCCCAGCCTGAGGCACTGAGCCCCCCGGGGCAGCTCCAGCAGCACCTCCCTCGCCGCCCATGCGCCGCGATGATCGTCTCCGTGAATGCCGGGAGCCGCATCAGGAATCGTGCCTTGCTGACAACACAGACTGCTGGGTGGGACTCGCGACTCGTGAAGGAATGGGTTCACTGATGCTCTCGACATCGCAGCAGACATCCTTTATCCAAATGAATTGCCGTTAGCAGCTTTTTAAATAAATGTAGAATACTGTACTATCTTGCACTTCTTTTTATTCAGGGAAAATTACTTGTTATTGATCAGGAAGTGTTTGTTTTGCTGTTCTGTTGCTGTTTAAAAGTGTTTTTTCTATTCAAGTTTTGTTCTTTCAGTTTTGTGAGCAATAACCATTTATTTAATGTGGGACCACGGAGACTTTCAAGGGTCATTGCTGCTCCTAGGTCAGGTTTTATGAACTATTTAGGAGCATTCATTATTCACCGAGCTGAGCAAGAAGATCAACTAAGTGAAGAAGCTCAACACATTCATTGAATAATTGTTGGTTGATAAGGGCGCAGAATAGCCACATTCAGACAAATCTCAATTGAGAGAAATGCCCCATTTTCCTGCCTTAAATGTTACATTTATCGCAAATTTTAATTGTCCTTGGAGCCCAACGTGGGTTGGAGCTAGGGGTGCAGTTTGCACAAGAATCAAACGACTAGATTTCCAAAACTGTAGAACACAACATTAGATCCTCATTGCGGTTCTCCATCTTGCACAATCCAAATCGCTCCAGCTAATGCGACGTTCAGAGATTGAGGGGTTCGTCGTGGCTTTCATGAATATCCCTTACGTCGCAGTTGTGCTTTGCATAACAACGTGGCAGAAGGCTCCCCCGTTGCGGTGCAAAGTCATCAGGAGATCACTCGGAGTGCTTTCTGAGGACGAGCGCTCCCAATCAAACCTAGGCCTCCAAGGTGTTCATTTAATTTTAAATGTGGTTTTAATCACAACTCGGTAGGTGTGACATCAATGTGATTGGGTAGCATATTGTGAACTGACCTTATAATGAATGTACCTTAGCATTTTACTTAACGTATGCGTTTGTTTAGGAAATAATGCAATGAGTTTTTTGTGAGTGGCTTATGTGTTTCCTGATTGCAGTAGAACTTCGTTGGTTTATTCCATACTGGTCACAAATCCTGCTGCCCACAGGGGTCAGCAGACCTGCGGTTCTCCCAGTTGTGCGCAGAGCTCCCAAGATTCGCGAAGCGTTAAAATCTTCGACGGAAGCGGTGGCAAAACGCGGTCTCTGTGCTGCAGCCGGTTGTCAAGTGCTGGCGACTCCCTAGGGGGCGCGCCAATGTCTCTCTCCCGTGTGCCTGTCCGAGGCGCAAGGCGAATGGTGGAAATTTAAACTGGTTCATGAAAGTCGGGAGGTTCGCACATTGAATACAATACTCACCCAAGTGATGACCTGTATTCATCAGATCTTTATTCAAATAGTGGGCTCCTCCATTGAAGACAATGGGGATGCTGCCACTTTATAGGAATCGTATGGAGAGGAGCAATGTAAAATGAGAATGCCCTTGTTATGCACGATGTGAGAATAATAACATAGGTCCTGTCCTTGATACAACGTTACTAAACATGGGATATTCCAATGGGTAATTATTTAGCTAACACAGGAAATGTGCCTTGATGTTGCAAGCAATTCCCTATGGCCCATGATGCTGCAGATCAGAGGGAAACGTCTGTTACTTGACCTGTATCTCCTGCAGAGCTTCGTGAAAGGGGAAATAGGCGGTGACACGGTCACCACTTGTTGAAAAGCTTCACGGTTCGTGTTACAGTGGCCGTCCGGATTAATACTGCTGTGTGTTAACGATAACAATACTCAGCGCCGTCGTCTTCACAATCGACGTTCAAGATACCGTGAAGTATTTCACAAGAGTAGGCCAGTGTGCCGGTGTTGTGGTCCATTTTTTTATTTAGCTGCAAATTACTCAATTGGAATATACATGGCGATCATGATGCCCTATTTGCAGGACCACCCTGAACAGTCTTGCCAGTGAGGCTTTAATTGGTAAATAAGCGTAATGATGACAATAATGAGTGGGTGAAGGTGATGCTGCACCCAGACAACGCCGTCAGTCGGCATAGCCCGCCGTGTTTGCGTATCGTGCCTGATGCTCGTGGCTCTGTGGATCCCCGTGGCGATCAGACTCAACCTGTGGATCAAGTGATATCAAGGGAACCCTCTTATCTGCCAATTTGGTCATTCACAACAGCACCCTATGTCTGTGGATAAGAAGCATTCTGCCGTGCTTTTGCCGAAGCCACTTTTATCATCCGCTGAAGAACAAATGGATACCCACTATAATCTTGATTTCTAAACCTGTTTAAATGCAACCGTATCTCAAGATGCTGGGCGACGTTAAATGTTGTGCCGTACCAATTCTTGCATGTGCAATACCCTGCAGAAAAAGCAATTATTTATAGTTCTCACCTGTACCCAATTTCAAAAGGCGGACGTGTCTGTGTTACAATAATATAGGTACCTTATCAGTTTTTTTAGGACCGCTGTGAACTAAATGTAATGCGGTATACGTTTGTACAATTGCAATGGTGTATATAATCAGTAAATTAAAAATATGGTCGGATTGTGTAATTGTTCCAGTTGGTGTGCGGGTTGGCACGGTACACATGTAAGCATTTTAACGCGTGCATTGCTGAATATTGCTGAAGGAAACCACACCCAGGGGTGGGCACTGGGTTTAATAAAGTGGTATGATGACAAGGAGGCACGCTGTGTACACATTGATTCTTCGGGTTACCGATGAAGAGTATCGATCGACTGAGAACCTGACTACTGTCCGCAACAAATGTGGACATGAGCATCAATGACTTGTAAATAATTATAACCATTGGTAATCTACAAAATCTCTGAACTTAACACAAGGCAGTAAAAGTGATAATGTATAAATGAGCAAAACAAGTCGCCTATAACATTGACAAAAACTCCAAAAGGAATTGCCTGTTGGAGGGACACTGCTGGAAATCAACCCCCGAGTGTCTGGGACAAGTATTATAGAGTGTGCTTTGGGTCTTTCGGTAAAGTCATGTAGATGAAATTTTAAAAAATATCATGACGTTTCGATCGCAACACAAGCAATGGTCATGAGAAAAAATATAACCCGTAAAAACAAAGTTTTTCACTATAAATCCTTTATATGCGTGGCGGCTAGAGTCCTCTCGTCCTCTGGCTTGAGATGGCTGCCACCTATGGGTCAGATGATTGTCTGCCAGTATTAAGCAATTGGCAATTAAATATTTAATTTGTTTTCCCTAAACAGTGTAAAATTTTGGAATTCTTTTTTTCACGAACATTGTCTCGCACAACGAGTCTGTGTGCAAAATGTCAGCTCGATTGGATCACGGGAAGTGGGTTAAAAAACGACCGAAAGATTTGCACGGTCGTAAGCACGCAAGCAAGCTAACTTAATATAAAGGATTTAAAAAGAGGGGGAAAGCTGCTGAGGCAAGCTGTTTGAAAGTTTTAAAATGGGTGTAGCCCAAGGGTCATAAACGAAGTGGGCGGGGCTAGTGATGTTAAAGTGAGAGAGATTAACATGTCAATGTAAACGGCGGCTGTGTTAGTGAGCCTGTTAATGTAAAATCAGAGAGTCTAAAATAACTGCTACCATCGGAAGGTAGGGTGGAAACATCACGGTCAGTTATGACTTAAACTGATTAATAACGTCCTTCCAATGATTGATCAGTTTGTACCCATCTTCTCGGTTGAAATTGTCTGTGTCTATATATCTGGATGGCTTCATGAACGAATCTTTGTTGATAGCTAGTGGGTTTGCAGAGTACCTTCGTCTTGGAGAAATCAATTTCATGTGTGCCCACCGCGTTAAAATAATGATCAGCCACGGCTGAGGTATTTATCCTACCGTGTTTCTCACGAACACAGTCTGAGACATGTTGCTTAGTTTCCCCAATGTAACTACTGCCGCAGGCACAGCTTAGTTTGTATACGCCGGGGTATTGCATGTCAGAGATCACACCCTTCACAGATGGGATCAGATCACGAATTTTATGTACTGTGTCAAATTGAACCTGGATCTAGTGTTTGCTCATGATTTTGGAAATATTTTTGGTGACCCCTGCTATGTATGGCAAGGTTTTGATTAGGTCCTCAGATGGTTCTTTCCCAACGGTTGGGGTGATAGCTTTACGGATTGTGTAGTCTGAATATCCATTCATCTTGAGAGCTTGGTGTACGTGTCCCAGTTCACTAGCTAGGTGATGGTCGGAAATACAACGAGCTCTATGGTGTAGAGTTTGGATGAGGGAATTCTTCTGGGATGGATGGTGGTGGGAGTCAGGTTTTAGGTCGGCATCCGTACGGGTGGCTTTCCTGTAGACTGTCCCATTGAGCCAATTTGGTCTCTTTTCGATTAAAACATCCAAGAATGGTAACTGGCCATCCTTTTCCACCTCCATGGTGAATTTGATGGCTGGGTGTATGGAATTGATGTTGTCGAAGAATTGGTTCAGAGCTGGTAGGACATGTGGCCAGATGATGAACGTGTCATCTACGTTCCTCTTCCACAAGGATAGACGTAGAGTAGATGCCTGGATGGCATCTGAAAAAATTCCATGAAAACATTGGCTTCAACTGGAGATAAGGGAGAACCCATTGGGGTACCTTCAACTTGTTTGTAGAATGTTCCATTCCAGGTGAAGTGTTGGTGAGGCAGTGTCTAACCAGGGCTGGCACATCAGCATTCAGTCCTTGTAGGACCAAAACTTCAATGATTGCAATGGTGTCAGGCATAGGAACTTGGGTAAACAAAGATACTACATCGAAATTAACGAGTAAATCACCTGGAGATAGTGAGATGTCCTTAATTAACGGTACCAAGTGAGCTGAGTTCAGTACAGCTGAGGTGGTCTTACCAGTGAATGGTTGTAAGGTCTCAAGACAGAAATCGGGCCAGTTTGTAGGTGGGTGAGTAAATGGTGGAGACGATAGGACGAAATGGTGTGCCTTTATTAATTTTTGGTAAGCCATACAATCTGGGTGGTCTATCAACTGAGGGTTTTAAGGAAAACCGCTTCGTTGGTTCGATTAAAGATATCGGATCGGTGATATTGTTGGTTTTCGTAACCAGGTGGTTGGCGGGATCTCTTGATTTTGGTAGAGCTACCATCATTAAGTAGGTCCTGAATTTTGTTATTGTAAGTGGTTTTGTCCATGATGACAGTGTCATTGCCCTTGTCGACTGAAAGGATGGCTGTCATCTCTCTTTTTTAATTGCATAAGCTCAAAGCGCTCATCCTTACTGATGTTGCAAATAGGTGTCTTAGCGTTTTGGAGGATCGCAGCGATTTTCGATCTTGCCACGTCTGCAGGAATGTGTCCCAACCCCTGAAGGGCTACGTCGACCTGGGCAATGATATTAACTTGGATGTGTTTATGGGTGACTGCGAAATTCAACCCTTTAGCTAGAACCGATTTTAGGCTGTGGTAAATTGGACTGTTACTCTGATAACAATCTTGTCAACGTCTAACTTTTTAATGTGTGGATCTGGCTTCTTCTTGGAAAGGTTGAACTTGGAAATCAGGTGATCTTTGCATTTCGCTGACATTGAGGCGGCTGAAGAGGCTGTCATGTTTACATGTTCCCAATCAGATGTAGACATTGTTTTTGTCAATGTTAACTGTTATTTCAAGAGAGTCGTCTAAATTGTCTAGTTCTAAACTGCATCCGCACCAAACCATGGCAGCAGATGCGGACAATTGATTAAAATTAAAAACTCTGGTGGGTGGGTGGCCATCGTCGCCCAGAACACTCCATGCAGGATGACTCAATTGCCCGGTTCGCAAACACGGAGGCGGCCTCATCACAGCGACTCACTCCGCCACCTGTGATGCAGTCATCAGGCTCGTGGTCACCCCCATGGGAAACCGCAGCCGTCCGCCTGCAATCTGCATCGGCCGCACGATGGAGCAGGTCGCCACGTGCCGGCCAGGACCCACTTGACTCTGCGTGGGGGGAGGGGCGTGACCGTCGTCATGATGCTGGCACCTGACCTGGAGTGATTGGAAGCCATGGGCCGGATCAGTCGACCCGTGGCACCCGCTGGGTCTGCAGCGTGACCTCCTTGCCAGCGGGTGTTCGACACTTCACGTGGCCTCAACGTGCACCTAGCCTGGCACAAGCGTCGTGGTGACGTCACCGCCACTTAGTGGCGAATGGTGGTTGTTGTAGGGGGGCGTGTTCGTGCCACGCCCTACTCGCGAGGCCACGCCCTACTCGCGAGGCCACGCCCTACTCGAGAGGCCACGCCCTACTCGCGGGGCCACGCCCTACTCGCGGGGCCACGCCCTACTCGCGGGGCCACGCCCTACTCGCGGGGCCACGCCCTACTCGCGAGGCCACGCCCTACTCGCGGGGCCACGCCCTACTCGCGGGGCCACGCCCTACTCGCGGGGCCACGCCCTACTCGCGGGGCCACGCCCTACTCGCGAGGCCACGCCCTACTCGCGAGGCCACGCCCTACTCGCGAGGCCACGCCCTACTCGCGGGGCCACGCCCTACTCGCGGGGCCACGCCCTACTCGCGAGGCCACGCCCTACTCGCGAGGCCACGCCCTACTCGCGAGGCCACGCCCTACTCGAGAGGCCACGCCCTACTCGCGGGGCCACGCCCTACTCGCGAGGCCACGCCCTACTCGCGAGGCCACGCCCTGCTCGCGTGACGTCGGCACGCACACTGTACTGGCACAGGGTCTCACTGTACTCGCGATGCCAATGCCGCTGTCTCTGCGCGTCGTGGCCGAGTGCCGCTGGAGCGGCGCCCGCGCCGCCACGCTCGTGGCCCCCCACGGCCCCGTGGCGCTGCCCGTGTTCATGCCGGTGGGCACGCAGGGCACCCTCAAGGGGCTCACCGCGCGACAGCTGCGTCGTCTCGGCTGCGGCATCTGCCTGGGCAACACCTACCACCTGGCCATGCGGCCCGTGAGTCCGACCGCCTCCTGCACAAAGCGCCCCCCGTGGAGCCCACGCAGCCTCTCGCTTGCTGTGAGCGAGAGGCTGCTGCAGCTGCAGCGCCTACGAGGCCTGGAACGGCGCACGAGTCGCTGGGTGTATCCCGTACTCACTGCACCGAGCTACTCCTGTCAGGGCCGTGTCGCCCGAGGGGAAGTCGAGGACTGGCTGAGCTATTCGGCAGCGATGTTGGCCGTCAGTGGGGATGGTTCAGGTCGCCGGATTCGTCGTGCAGTGCACCGACCACTTCGGCACCGCTCCCCCTCCCCCCCACAGAGATCGTGCACGCCCCACATGTACCACCACCACCTGTACCACCTGTACCACCACCACATGTACCACCACCACCACATGTACCACCACCACCACATGTACCACCACCACCACATGTACCACCACCACCACATGTACCACCACCACCACATGTACCACCACCACCACATGTACCACCACCACCACATGTACCACCACCACCACATGTACCACCACCACCACATGTACCACCACCACCACATGTACCACCACCACCACCTGTACCACCACCACCACCTGTACCACCACCACATGTACCACCCCAATGTACCACCACCACCTGTACCACATGTACCACCACCACCACACATACCACACCACCGTACCACATGTACCACCACCACCACATGTACCACCACCACATCCACCACCACCACCACATGTACCACCACCACCACATGTACCACCCCCACCACCACATGTACCACCACCACATGTACCACCACCACCACATGTACCACCACCACCACATGTCCCACCACCACCTGTAACCACCACCACCTGTACCACCACCACCACCTGTACCACCACCACCACCTGTACCACCACCACCACCTGTACCACCACCACCTGTACCACCACCTGTACCACCACCACCTGTACCACCTGTACCACCACCTGTACCACCTGTACCACCACCACCTGTACCACCTGTACCACCACCACCTTACCACCTGTACCACCACACCACCTGTACCACCACCAACCTGTACCACCACCACCTGTACCACCTGTACCACCTGTACCACCACCTGTACCACCACCACCACCTGTACCACCACCACTTGTACCACCACCACCTGTACCACCTGTACCACCACCACCTGTACCACCACCACCACCTGTACCACCACCACCTGTACCACCACCACCTGTACCACCACCACCTGTACCACCACCTGTACCACCACCTGTACCACCACCACCTATACCACCTGTACCACCACCACCTGTACCACCTGTACCACCACCACCTGTACCACCACTACCACCACCACCTGTACCACCACTACCACCACCACCTGTACCACCACTACCACCACCACCTGTACCACCACCTGTACCACCACCACCACCTGTACCACCACCACCTGTACCACCACCACCTGTACCACCACCACCTGTACCACCTGTACCCCACCTGTACCACCACCACCACCTGTACACCACCACCTGTACACCACACCTGTACCACCACCACCTGTACCACCACCACCACCACCTGTACCACCACCACCTGTACCACCGTACCACCACCACCTGTACCACCACCACCTGTACCACCACCACCACCTGTACCACCACCACCACCTGTACCACCACCTCCACCACCTGTACCACCACCTCCACCACCTGTACCACCACCTCCACCACCTGTACCACCACCTCCACCACCTGTACCACCACCTCCACCACCTGTACCACCACCTCCACCACCTGTACCACCACCACCACCACCTGTACCACCACCAAAGACAAAGATCCCCCGTATAGCCTGAACAGACTGTAGGGGCAAGTGCTGTTAGCGAGCACCTATGAAGGCCGGAACGGTACACGAGGGGGTGGGTGGCCAGCACCACGCCCGACCGCCTTTGTCTCCCTAGTGGTGATGTTTTACACACCGCACCAGGTACTCATTTAAGGCTGAGTCGACCTAGGGGAGGCCCAGGACCGGTTCAGATAATCGTCACTGGTGTTAGCCGTGAGCGGGAATCGAACCCGGGTCGCCAGGTTCATAGCGCAGCGCGCTAACCGCTACACTACCGCTCCCCACAATACCACCACCTGTACCACCACCACCTGTACCACCACCACCACCTGTACCACCACCACCACCTGTACCACCACCTGTACCACCACCACCACCTGTACCACCACCACCTGTACCACCACCACCACCACCTGTACCACCACCACCACCTGTACCACCACCACCACCTGTACCACCACCACCACCTGTACCACCACCACCTGTACCACCACCACCACCTGTACCACCACCACCACCTGTACCACCACCACCTGTACCATCTGTACCACCACCACCTGTACCACCACCACCACCACCTGTACCACCACCACCTGTACCACCACCTGTACCACCACCTGTACCACCACCTGTACCACCACCACCTGTACCACCACCACCTGTACCATCTGTACCACCACCACCTGTACCACCTGTACCACCACCACCTGTACCACCACCGCCACTACCTGTACCACCACCACCTGTACCACCACCACCTGTACCACCACCACCACCTGTACCACCACCTGTACCACCACCACCTGTACCACCACCACCACCTGTACCACCACCACCTGTACCACCACCTGTACCACCACCTGTACCACCACCTGTACCACCACCACCTGTACCACCACCACCTGTACCACCACCTGTACCACCACCTGTACCACCACCACCACCACCTGTACCGCCACCACCACCTGTGCCACCACCTGTACCACCACCACCACCTGTACCACCACCACCTGTACCACCACCACCACCTGTACCACCACCACCACCTGTACCACCACCACCACCTGTACCACCACCACCTGTACCATCTGTACCACCACCACCTGTACCACCACCACCTGTACCACCACCACCTGTACCACCACCTGTACCACCACCTGTACCACCACCTGTACCACCACCACCTGTACCACCTGTACCACCACCACCTGTACCATCTGTACCACCACCACCTGTACCACCTGTACCACCACCACCTGTACCACCACCGCCACTACCTGTACCACCACCACCTGTACCACCACCACCTGTACCACCACCACCACCTGTACCACCACCACCACCTGTACCACCACCACCTGTACCACCACCACCACCTGTACCACCACCACCTGTACCACCACCTGTACCACCACCTGTACCACCACCACCTGTACCACCACCACCTGTACCACCACCACCACCTGTACCACCACCACCACCACCTGTACTACCACCCTGTACCACCACCACCCGTGTACCGCTCCACCTGTACCACCACCACCCTGTACCACTACCACCACCCTGTACCACCACCACCACCCTGTACCACCACCACCTGTACCACCACCACCTGTACCACCAGCACGTAAACAACAGAGGGGCGCCGCGGTAGCGAGGTGTTAACTACCTCGCCTGCTACGCAGGAGGTCGTGAGTTTGATCACGACCCTGATGCCTGTGTATAATTGTAGTTTGCGTGTCTCTCCCTGTGGTCGCATGCATTTTTCATTGGGTCCTCCGGTTTTTCCCACCACATGTAGAACCAACGTCACACGTTTTGAGTATTTGGCTGCTTTAAATTTCCACGAGATTATCCACTTTGTTGAGCTCTCATTTCTGGCCAGGTCGCTTCTGAAAATAGCTATATCGCTCAGTGAGTCTTACCTGGTAAAATAAAATAAAATGTTTATAGTTTAGTTGATTCACAACCTATACCACATACAGTACAGTACACCATCTTCAATTCCAACGTGTACACGCGCACTGTGCTTAATTGCCTACACGAGGCACGCACCACAGGCAAAGATCCCCCGTGTAGACTCAACAGCGTTCGGGCAAGTGCTGCTAGCGAGCACCTATGGAGGGTGGAACGGCGCACGAGGGGATTGGTGGCCAGCACCACGCCCGGCCGCCTTTGTCTCCCCAATGCCCACGTTTACACACCGCACCAAGTACTAATTAATGCCGAGTCGATCTACACCGCGCATGCACTAACACCACCACACACGTCTATAATTTGCCTTCACACAAAAATGTTGAGTTGCAGTCTGGGGCAGCACGAACCCCCACAGGGTAAATCTCCCTCAACTGGGGGTCCCCTCGCGTTGGTGGATTGACGTGGCTCTCGGGTCGTGATGATGCTTCACTTCCACAGGGGCCGGAGCTGATCGAGAAGGCCAAGGGCTTGCACGGCTTCATGGACTGGGAGCGCTGCCTGCTCACCGTAAGCCCCGCACACCCACGCGGCGCGGCAGCGGCCTCATTGGATTCCCAATGATTGCTACTCGTACACACGGAGTGTTTCACTGTCATGTAAGTTGCACGTTCTGTTACCCATGGGTTCGCAGCGATAGAAGTGCTGCTGGCTTGTACTTTCTAGATAATGAAGTGGCTCAGAGTGTGCACGAGTGAGTCTGACTCAGTGTGTACGAGTGTGAGTCTGACTCAGTGTGTACGAGTGTGAGTCTGACTCAGTGTGTACGAGTGAGTCTGACTCAGTGTGCACGAGTGAGTCTGACTCAGTGTGCACGAGTGAGTCTGACTCAGTGTGCACGAGTGAGTCTGACTCAGTGTGCACGAGTGAGTCTGACTCAGTGTGCACGATTGAGTCTGACTCAGTGTGCACGAGTGTGAGTCTAACTCAGTGTGCACGAGTGAGTCTGACTCAGTGTGCACGATTGAGTCTGACTCAGTGTGTACGAGTGTGAGTCTGACTCAGTGTGCACGAGTGTGAGTCTGTCTCTCAGTGTGCACGAGTGTGAGTCTGACTCTCAGTGTGCACGAGTGTGAATCTGACTCAGTGTGTACGAGTGTGAGTCTGACTCAGTGTGCACGAGTGTGAGTCTGTCTCTCAGTGTGCACGAGTGTGAGTCTAACTCAGTGTGCACGAGTGTGAGTCTGACTCTCAGTGTGTACGAGTGTGAGTCTAACTCAGTGTGCACGAGTGTGAGTCTGACTCTCAGTGTGCACGAGTGTGAGTCTGACTCTCAGTGTGCACGAGTGTGAGTCTGACTCAGTGTGCACGAGTGTGAGTCTGACTCAGTGTGCACGAGTGTGAGTCTGACTCAGTGTGCACGAGTGTGAGTCTGACTCAGTGTGCACGAGTGTGAGTCTGACTCTCAGTGTGCACGAGTGTGAGTCTGACTCTCAGTGTGCACGAGTGTGAGTCTGACTCAGTGTGCACGAGTGTGAGTCTGACTCAGTGTGCACGAGTGTGAGTCTGACTCAGTGTGCACGAGTGTGAGTCTGACTCTCAGTGTGCACGAGTGTGAGTCTGACTCTCAGTGTGCACGAGTGTGAGTCTGACTCTCAGTGTGTACGAGTGTGAGTCTGACTCAGTGTGCACGAGTGTGAGTCTGACTCAGTGTGCACGAGTGTGAGTCTGACTCTCAGTGTGCACGAGTGTGAGTCTGACTCTCAGTGTGCACGAGTGTGAGTCTGACTCTCAGTGTGCACGAGTGTGAGTCTGACTCTCAGTGTGCACGAGTGTGAGTCTGACTCTCAGTGTGCACGAGTGTGAGTCTGACTCAGTGTGCACGAGTGTGAGTCTGACTCAGTGTGCACGAGTGTGAGTCTGACTCAGTGTGCACGAGTGTGAGTCTAACTCTCAGTGTGCACGAGTGTGAGTCTGACTCAGTGTGCACGAGTGTGAGTCTGACTCTCAGTGTGTACGAGTGTGAGTCTGACTCTCAGTGTGCACGAGTGTGAGTCTAACTCAGTGTGCACTAGTGTGAGTCTGACTCAGTGTGCACGAGTGTGAGTCTGACTCTCAGTGTGCACGAGTGTGAGTCTGACTCTCAGTGTGCACGAGTGTGAGTCTGACTCTCAGTGTGCACGAGTGAGTCTGACTCAGTGTGCACGAGTGAGTCTGACTCAGTGTGTACGAGTGTGAGTCTAACTCAGTGTGCACGAGTGTGAGTCTGACTCTCAGTGTGCACGAGTGTGAGTCTAACTCAGTGTGCACGAGTGTGAGTCTGACTCTCAGTGTGCACGAGTGTGAGTCTGACTCTCAGTGTGTACGAGTGTGAGTCTGACTCAGTGTGCACGAGTGTGAGTCTGACTCAGTGTGCACGAGTGTGAGTCTGACTCAGTGTGCACGAGTGTGAGTCTGACTCTCAGTGTGCACGAGTGTGAGTCTGACTCAGTGTGTACGAGTGTGAGTCTGACTCAGTGTGTACGAGTGTGAGTCTGACTCTCAGTGTGCACGAGTGTGAGTCTGACTCTCAGTGTGCACGAGTGAGTCTGACTTAGTGTGCACGAGTGAGTCTGACTCAGTGTGCACGAGTGAGTCTGACTCAGTGTGCACGAGTGAGTCTGACTCAGTGTGCACGAGTGAGTCTGACTCAGTGTGTACGAGTGTGAGTCTAACTCAGTGTGCACGAGTGTGAGTCTGACTCAGTGTGCACGAGTGTGAGTCTGACTCTCAGTGTGCACGAGTGTGAGTCTGACTCTCAGTGTGTACGAGTGTGAGTTTGACTCAGTGTGCACGAGTGTGAGTCTGACTCAGTGTGCACGAGTGTGAGTCTGACTCTCAGTGTGCACGAGTGTGAGTCTGACTCTCAGTGTGCACGAGTGTGAGTCTGACTCAGTGTGCACGAGTGTGAGCCTGACTCTCAGTGTGCACGAGTGTGAGTCTGACTCTCAGTGTGCACGAGTGTGAGTCTGACTCAGTGTGCACGAGTGTGAGTCTGACTCTCAGTGTGTACGAGTGTGAGTCTGACTCAGTGTGCACGAGTGTGAGTCTGACTCTCAGTGTGCACGAGTGTGAGTCTGACTCTCAGTGTGCACGAGTGTGAGTCTAACTCAGTGTGCACTAGTGTGAGTCTGACTCAGTGTGCACGAGTGTGAGTCTGACTCTCAGTGTGCACGAGTGTGAGTCTGACTCTCAGTGTGCACGAGTGTGAGTCTGACTCTCAGTGTGCACGAGTGAGTCTGACTCAGTGTGCACGAGTGAGTCTGACTCAGTGTGTACGAGTGTGAGTCTAACTCAGTGTGCACGAGTGTGAGTCTGACTCTCAGTGTGCACGAGTGTGAGTCTAACTCAGTGTGCACGAGTGTGAGTCTGACTCTCAGTGTGCACGAGTGTGAGTCTGACTCTCAGTGTGTGCGAGTGTGAGTCTGTCTCAGTGTGCACGAGTGTGAGTCTGACTCAGTGTGCACGAGTGTGAGTCTGACTCAGTGTGCACGAGTGTGAGTCTGACTCTCAGTGTGCACGAGTGTGAGTCTGGACTCAGTGTGTACGAGTGTGAGTCTGACTCAGTGTGTACGAGTGTGAGTCTGACTCTCAGTGTGCACGAGTGTGAGTCTGACTCTCAGTGTGCACGAGTGAGTCTGACTTAGTGTGCACGAGTGAGTCTGACTCAGTGTGCACGAGTGAGTCTGACTCAGTGTGCACGAGTGAGTCTGACTCAGTGTGCACGAGTGAGTCCTGACTCAGTGTGTACGAGTGTGAGTCTAAACTCAGTGTGCACGAGTGTGAGTCTGACTCAGTGTGCACGAGTGTGAGTCTGACTCTCAGTGTGCACGAGTGTGAGTCTGACTCTCAGTGTGTACGAGTTGTGAGTTTGACTCAGTGTGCACGAGTGTGAGTCTGACTCAGTGTGCACGAGTGTGAGTCTGACTCTCAGTGTGCACGAGTGTGAGTCTGACTCTCATTGTGCACGAGTGTGAGTCTGACTCAGTGTGCACGAGTGTGAGCCTGACTCTCAGTGTGCACGAGTGTGAGTCTGACTCTCAGTGTGCACGAGTGTGAGTCTGACTCAGTGTGCACGAGTGTGAGTCTGACTCTCAGTGTGTACGAGTGTGAGTCTGACTCAGTGTGCACGAGTGTGAGTCTGACTCTCAGTGTGCACGAGTGTGAGTCTGACTCAGTGTGCACGAGTGTGAGTCTGACTCTCAGTGTGCACGAGTGTGAGTCTGACTCTCAGTGTGCACGAGTGTGAGTCTGACTCTCAGTGTGCACGAGTGTGAGTCTGACTCAGTGTGCACGAGTGTGAGTCTGACTCTCAGTGTGCACGAGTGTGAGTCTGACTCAGTGTGCACGAGTGTGAGTCTGACTCTCAGTGTGCACGAGTGTGAGTCTGACTCAGTGTGCACGAGTGTGAGTCTGACTCTCAGTGTGCACGAGTGTGAGTCTGACTCAGTGTGTACGAGTGTGAGTCTGACTCAGTGTGTACGAGTGCTGAGTCTGACTCAGTGTGCACGAGTGTGAGTCTGACTCTCAGTGTGCACGAGTGTGAGTCTGACTCAGTGTGCACGAGTGTGAGTCTGACTCTCAGTGTGCACCGAGTGTGAGTCTGCTCTCAGTGTGTACGAGTGTGAGTCTGAATCAGTGTGCACGAGTGTGAGTCTGACTCTCAGTGTGCACGAGTGAGTCTGACCTCAGTGTGCACGAGTGAGTCTGACTCAGTGTGTACGAGTGTGAGTCTGACTCTCAGTGTGCACGAGTGTGAGTCTGACTCAGTGTGCCACGAGTGTGAGTCTGTCTCTCAGTGTGACACGAGTGTGAGTCTGACTCTCAGTGTGCACTGACGGGTGTGAGTCTGACTCTCAGTGTTGTACGAGTGTGAGTCTGACTCAGTGTGCACGAGTGTGAGTCTGACTTTCAGTGTGCACGAGTGTGAGTCTGACTCTCAGTGTGCACGAGTGTGAGTCTGACTCTCAGTGTGCACGAGTGTGAGTCTGACTCAGTGTGCACGAGTGTGAGTCTGACTCTCAGTGTGCACGAGTGTGAGTCTGACTCAGTGTGTACGAGTGTGAGTCTGACTCAGTGTGCACGAGTGTGAGTCTGACTCTCAGTGTGCACGAGTGTGAGTCTGACCTCAGTGTGCACGAGTGTGAGTCTGACTCTCAGTGTGCGCGAGTGTGAGTCTGACTCTCAGTGTGTACGAGTGTGAGTCTGACTCAGTGTGCACGAGTGTGAGTCTGACTCTCAGTGTGCACGAGTGAGTCTGACTCTCAGGTGCACGAGTGAGTCTGACTCAGGTGCACGAGTGTGAGTCTGACTCTCAGTGTGCACGAGTGTGAGTCTGACTCTCAGTGTGCTACGAGTGTGAGTTTGACTCAGTGTGCACGAGTGTGAGTCTGACTCAGTGTGCACGAGTGTGAGTCTGACTATCAGTGTGCACGAGTTGTGAGTCCTGACTCTCAGTGTGCACGAGTGTGAGTCTGACTCAGTGTGCACGAGTGGGTGAGCCGGACTCTCAGTGTGCACGAGTGTGAGTC